TATCTTGACTGCTGTCAGTGTAAACCACTGAAGAAAGATGGAGACACTACCTGTGTGAGTACCTAATACGTTTAACAACTCACTTGGATATTATTATTATCATCATGTACCAAAAGACTTCCAATACTAAAGTTAATATATTGGTATACGAGAAGTTTCCTTAGATCTAACTGACGGCACATTTGTTAAAATAACTCTAACACTTGACCGTCATATATAATATAATACTCTTTTGATATGCTAACTGAGGTCAGAATATGATTCTCTTCAGCTTTATTTGTTAAAAACGATTGAACCATACAATTTGATCCTTGGTATTATTTTGGATTTTATCAATAAAAGAAGCACACCAGTTAACCCGTCATCTATAAATGCTTCTGCTATCTCATCAAGTCTAGAAATAAAATAGTAACAATCATAAAATACTCTAATGTAATGATGATTATTCGCTGATCCTGGTGGTACTGACTTTACTACTGTTTCGTTAAATTAAAAAAGTCCAACATAAAAAGCAATTGCAAGTATTACATATAATAAAATTTATCAGATGAGACTTCTAATTTTAGGTTTGAAAATCAAAAGATAAGAAATAAAGTGCAGTGCGTTAAGTTGTACGTAAAACATCAATTACTTGTACACACGATAAAGAAAAAACTTCCGCAATGAATGACACTTCACCCATGCAATTTGACCACCGACTCGTCACATCCTGTGTCTTATATGCTATAAGAATATTTCTTTTTTTCACCCGTGCTTTATTCTTTTTAAGTGCAACGAACCGCTTTATATACTATCATCATTTTTTACTAACGACAAATTGTTTGTACCTTGTTCTCTATACCAACTCCGCCTCCTTATTCTCACTACTTATCGTTGTCTTCCTGAATCTTCGTTACAGATAATAAAATACGTTCAGTAACCTTCGTCCATTGTCTCTTATGGAAATTATTGGCATGAGAGAAAACAGTGCGAAGAAGAAAGCATCTGTATTATCTAGATCAAATCAGCTTAATAATTTTAGCGTTAAATTACACTAAATGGGGACATATTAAATAAAGATAATCATTATTTATTTATACTTAAGAAAGTTGGCAAAATAACAGTTAGTTTGATTCTCTTATTGTTGAAAGGACTCCAAAAAAAAAAAAAAGAAAACTAACCAATTAAATATGATAATAATTGATGAATGAATATTTAAATGATTATTAATAAATTAATAAGTAGATGAATGAATAAAAAATAATGACATCTAAAATATAGTGTAAATGTTCTTTTTTCAGAGAAAAGTATTTATCGTTGTACTATAAATTTTTATGACTTTAGGAAAATATAACAAATGCTGGAATACAACGAGGTGATGATGATACTAAAGTAAGAGAAGATAGCAAGAAGATAATAGCAACTGGTAAATTTTACGTAAAGTGCATTTCAACCAGCGGTCAATTTTCCCATTGAAACTAACTCAGGACGTTTATTATCTCATTCTATTATCGAGTTTCTAGTTAAAATATTTGTGTGTTGTAAAATATATGATAATAAAAATAATAACAAAGATTTTTGTTATTATTATACAGTTATTAAAATTAAATAATTAATTAAATTTAATACCAAACTCAATTGGATGAAATAAAAAAAAATATTCTTTTACAAGAATGAAGTTAACTTGGATATTTTTTTTTTTTTATAAAAAAATATTGCTTGAAATATTCTTCAACATAGGTGTAAAATAAAAGTCGAGTATCAACGTTATATCATGAAACGTAGGAAATAATGAGTGCATAAATTAAACAATCGAAATAATGGCAATTTGCGATATGGCAATGCTTGGAAATTCCGAGGTCAATTTCGTCAAGATATCTATACACATTGAAGTACGGGTAATGAATAAATAAAATAAAAGATATTGTACACTGGTAGAAGCCTTCAAACAATATATCTATATAATACCTATATATAATATTCTAAAGATTATATTTTCCTTATTTCAAAGCATTCAAATTAACTTCAATTAACTCTTTATCTACTTCTATTTATTATTCATATAAATAAATTACCGATAAACTACTTTTAGTAAAAATATAAAATAATTGCTTCTGCTTTACGGTTCTGGAAGTCTATGAATCATTAATTGGAAGAAAAAAAAAAAAGAAAACTGTAAATTTATTGAAAATAATTTTTTCCAGTGAAATCTAATAATTTTGCTATTGCTTTTGAATGCACTGCATATTCATATGAATTATGTGTTTTATATTAACACAGTGAAAATGTCTTATGAATCATTTCAATGGAAAAGTGTGTTAGATATTTATTTTAAATATTTTATTTTAATAATTAATTCAACACAAGTGAATTAACAGTGTGGATAACATCATTCAATCTTGATGAATGTTTCTTCTTCATAGACATCATAGATGAATTAAATTAAATTTAAAAATGATAAATATATAATGTAAAATATTGAAAATAAAAAATTGTTATCTTGATTAACATATCCACAAATGCAAATTTTAATATAATATTTGAAAAACAGAGTAGAATAAAACCAGACATTGAAATATATAAATTTGTATCTGCAATGATATATTCCTCCAAGTTTGAGGTGTTCATTTGCATAATGATAATAATGCATCTGCATAATGACAATGATAACTCAACAGTAATTCAAAGCATATTCGAACAAACGAAGAGGGATGGAGAATGAAAAGAAAGTGTGTATGTGTGTGTGTAGGTACATAAGTAGAAGATAGAATGTACATATATAATAATAATAACAACTACAACAGCAAAAATAATAATAAAAGCAGTCGTATAAAGTCTGTCTTAAACGTTTTCTGGAGATTTGCCTGTATGTATGTAAAAATCATAAATAAATGAATTAGCACGAGTATTATCATCAACTTTTTTTTTTCTTCAATAACCTCTACATGTATATCTAGACATACATATGTATGTATATTGGGTTCACTAGTGTTGGCTATTAGTGGTAAAAATGTAGAATCCATACACATGTATGCAAGTAAAATAGCCGGCAATTTGCTGGTTTACGAGTTATTTCACAATGGCTGCAAAGTATAGTGCTGTAGTATTATTGCCGTAGTAGCTCCATCATATTCACCACCAAGTATAGCCATACTGTGTGTGTTGGTACATTACTTTGTGTCCACAGTAGATCCAGTCTGTATTTTATATTAAGTATTTTTACTTCAGTTCAACACGGTTAAAACGAAATAAAAGCCCAAGGGAACGAAGAACAAAAATAAGATAAAGATGGAGGGATAAAAAAAGAAGAAATGGACATCATCTTTGATTTTCTAAGTGAGAGAATGATGAAGAAGCTGAAAAGAGAGGGGTTGAAAGATGGAAAGAAAAGAAAGGTAACTTAAGAATAAGGAAAAAAGAGTAAGAGAGAAATTGTTGCAATGGTGTTCTGAAATTTGCCCAGGGCTGAATCTGGTACCCTATTTCAAGACAATAACCAACTGACTATAAACCTGTCCAACATATACTCTCATCCCTCAACTTACCAACCAATGTCTGTATGTAGTAGTCTCGACTTTTTAAGTATAGTCAAGACTGTGTATTTATATATATACTATGGCGAATTATTTTTGGCTATAGCATTTAATTCAGCTAATTGAGACATGATGAATGGATATATTTTTAATTATTAAACCAAACTTTATCTAGCTCAGTTATTCACTTTAAAAATTAATCCAACTCTGATCTAGCATTTGCTTCTAATAATAAATAAACTACTCTGCAATTGATGAACTTCATCAACAAAATAATATTTGACTTTAAAGATTATTTTTATTCAATATTAATGCTGCTCATCCTTCACTTGAATGCACAATTATGCGAGTTAAAAATTTATTTATGGCAAAGTAGAAAAAAGAAGAAATGGTAAAAAATTAGAGTATTCATTTCATGTGATAAAGATGAAAAAAAAAAATGAACTGCATAGAGAGGGGAATATTCAGAAGATGAAGTTTACAGAAGACAAGAAGAAGGAAAAGATTAAAGACCGCGCAAGTACGCCTCCACGGGATGATGGATGCGATGTGGGAGACGCGCGAACTCCGAGTAGGTCGAGCTTTTCATTTTCATTCCTCTCTTTCGTTTCACGTTCTCCCTACTCTCTTGTATGTCTCATCAGTCCGTAACATTATTACTCTAGTCGTTCAACATTGCATACGCTCAAGCAATTCAATTCTTTGTTATATATATATATATATACATACGCGTACTTGAACAATTTGTTTTTGTCTTCATTTCAAGAACATACATCTTTTGCCGAAATTCTCATGAAATCTACACCCGTTACTTATTTACGTGCCACTAAGGTTAAAGGAATTTTTCATTCAACAACTTGAAGTGCTTTGAAATTTTTCCTTTATAGCGGGCCTTATTTTTTCGTAAGGGTTGCAATCTAAATGGTAATCCAATACCACACCCTCTAGATGATAAAAACTGTAGAAAAAGCCTAGGCAACTTTTTCTTTTAAAAGACATTCGCGAACGATCCGGCGGCAAAAAGTGATAACAAGGCCACGATCCTCATGGTAAATTCTACGAGTGCCACAGCATACACACTCACACAAATATATATCCTTTTTCAGCCACATCACAGTTGCCGCTTATTGCCCTATTCATATATATATATCCAAATGGACGACCAGAGCGTGGCAATTATCTCGCACCGCGTGTAAAAATAATAATTAACTGCCATTCATTATATTAATTAAAAAGATCCAACACGTTAAAAACCCATAATTGCACACTTATATATGTTATATGTATACTATAGCTTTGTTAGCTTGAAAACAATTAAAAAATTTTTATCGCTTTTAAATGTATGTTTATACCCTTAATATTTCTTCATTTATTAATTAAATTCTATATATCATCTGATCGTCATCAAATCAATCTATGAAAATATATGATTAGTGAAAAAAAAAAAAAAAATAAAAATAAAGAAAGATAATAACGTTAGGTACTTGCCTGACGCACCTGTTTGAACTGCTCCTCGAAGCTCCAACTTGATTGATGTGCATTATTGTTATTCTGTTGACCAGAGTTATCACGAGCTTCACTGATTTTTCCTGAACCTTGTGACGATTCACTGGAATGGGAGCTTGCAGATGATGGTACTATATTATTATTTCCACTAGTAAATGTTGAATATGAAGTTGTTTTTGTCTAAAAAATAAAACAGATATAAAGTTAGAAAAATATTCAGCAGGAATGTATGTTTTGTTTTTATAATAAAAATATAAGATATAATTTCGTTATTCTAGGATTACCGTTCCAGCAGTACTTGACGTCTGTGTATTATTATTATTGGTGCGATGCTGTGGTGGTAGAAATGCAGCTGGTGGTGGAAACGGAAATGGTAATGTGAATCCACTGCCCATAGCAGCTTGGAGAGCTTCTAATCCTGATTTATTGTTCAACACATCCATGTCATTGGTCTGTGATAAAAAATTCATTCGGTCATACATTGGAGCAGGAGTGCCGGTAGGAGTTAATGCTTTATCAGTTGAAGTGTGAGTATTTGTTTCACGAGGCTGTGCCAGTAATTCTTCACCACTCTCTTCATCTTGGAGATCAGGGTCTGAATCTTCCTCTTGGTGTGACTGGAAGCATAAAAAAAAACAGATATTAAATGAATGAAATAAGTCAAATATTTTACTACTTTGTATTGTCAGGGTCTTATTTTCTAACTGATGGAAAATATCTAAGTCAAATTTTAGTCAACTGCCTATCAATTTTTTAAACACTTTAGCATATTTCAAGCACGTGCAATAATATTTACTTTTTTGAGGACTATAAGATGATCTGCATAAAAGAGAATCCTATTTAAACAAACGACAGGTCGTATCCTAAAAGATCCGGTCTTACACAAAAGATCAGACGGATCAATCTTGTATAAAAAAAAAAATCAACTTCCCAGACCTCCAACGAATATTTAAAGGTAAAAAAAAAATGAAATAAAAGTTGCAAATGATTGGTTAAAATAAAACGAAATTTATAAGAATGACAAATAGAATGTATCGATTTAATATTCATCTGATTAAAGATCCTTAAAGACTGAATAAATCAATTCAGAATGTAAACCTAAACGAGAGACAAGGGAGACCACAGCGGTGCTCGATGACCAGGTAAAAGCGTGTCACCTTCAGCAAACAAATGGGCGCGGCACGTCTTCCAAACCACAGGGAAAAAATCACACCCACATTAGGCACACCTGAATCTATACATTTCAATCTCCACTGATTATTGTACTAAAGTAAACCTACGTCTAACAATGTTGATGATGAGGCTGGATTTTTCTCTCATTTATTTCTCATTTATTTTCAATTAATTCTTTTCCATCAATAACCAAATAATCCATGATTTTCCATGGTTAAATAATAATTTATCAAAGTAACTATTTCTTGAAATAAAGATTGCTGGCTACCAGGTGCTTTGTATTCTGGCTGACATGTATCACATGATAAAGCCACTACTGCTTTGATAGAAAATTTATAAGACAAGAGCCAACAACTGCCATTAATTATGCTAGAGGAATGCGACAGCATCTGATAGTAACAGTTTATTATCTCTGCACCAACAATAGCTGAACATCAGCATCAAAGTGCAAACAAGATAGATACTATAAAAACATCAATAAATGTTTTGGAATATTTGCAAAATAAATAAATTTATTTTTTATTTATATAAAAATTAATTTGATATTTTTTGTCTTGTGCACAATATGTTTATGAAGAAATTTTATTCACATAGGTTTATTTGTTTATTAAACATTTTATAGTAATAACGAAACTTACCAGATGACATCAACATATTTTTTGTTAGATCAGATCTATAGAACATTTGTTATCTATCTTACCCCTATCTCACTAGAGTCGAAATACTGAAAGAGTAGAATCGGAGGTTATACCGGGAAATTATTTTGGCGCATGCGCACAAATTATTTCTGAACTGTCCACAACTCAAAATAATTAATTTCCCGTATAAAATAATTGCCTGTATGATAATGTCTGATAAATAACAGCTTAAAATAACTTGAAATAATATATGATAAATAAAAAAAACATAATAGCTTGAAATATAATAATTCTCCGTATAACCTCAAATTCTACTCTTCCAATGTTTTGACTGTAGGAAACAATCGTTTAATGGAGATGAAAAATACCTGTCATTGGATTGTTGTAGAAGTTTCTAGTCAATCGTGTACGAGATTTGTGTCTAAAAGGTTTAAATAAAATTATCCTAACCATAAATATGTATTTTGTTATAATAACAATAATAATTGATAAATTAATCCTTCCTTCTTTATTTTGCAATAAATAAAAAACTTGGTATAAATAAAATAGCAAATAATCTGTTGTGAAAATAATAAACAGACTGAAATTTTAAAAAATGAAAACAAAAGTAGACTTGTGTTTTGACACAGAGTCCCAGTGTGGTTATAAGTATAAATTGTAAATAATTTATAGAATCTAAACTGAGTTAAGTTAAATGGTTTATTTAATTTGTTTCTTTGTGGATCTCATGATTCTTTCAAGTCTACGAAGGGTGTCGGAAATGTGGTGACACAGAGCCGTCAACTTTAGTGACATTATTGTCGCTGGTTCGTGACCCTTGAGTTTAACGTGTGGCGTGACAAGCTAACAGGCTAACACGGAATCGTTTACATTGTATATTTATGTACAGACGGTGCGAAGAAGATTTAATATAAGTCGAGACAATCACTATATTTAGATGGAATCCAGTAGTCATAAACTACATATAAATCTACGTTTAATTTATATCTTAAAATATAATATTCACGAATCACGATATAACCTAACTCCACATTGTGAACATGATAATCCCTCTGGACAAGATTTATTCGTGCGGGTGTAATATTCTAAGAATGAACACTTTGTGTAGTCTGCTTTAAATGAATTTCCAAATATTCAATTATGTGTTTGTTTATAAATAATTCAAATACTCTAGAGGATTGAATAGGTTAGTTTCCAAAGTTTAAAATCAATTAGGATGGACGTTAATTAAAAAAAAAGAAAAAGGGAAATAAATAATGAAATAGCAAACAAGATAAAAATTAGCAGGTAAATATTAACAGATCAAGTGCAAATTTAGTTGACCAATCTGTTGCATAGTTCACCCACGCATTCGCTGCGTGAGATTGGCGGATGTCCTCCTGACAAAGTGTAGAGAAAAGTATGCACGCACGCGCCTGCACAGAGGGGTGCTTAAACCAACGAGTCACGACAATTCATTCGTGTTTATAATAAACGTCCAATTAATTCTTTCAAATTTTTCACACGAAAATACAACACCTTAACTGACCTACATTTAACACCACATCATTTTTATCATACTTAAACCTATTATTATTCAATATAAAAATAAAAGTTGTTTTAAAAAAAAAACACTGCAAAGATATAATCAAATATTTATGCGAAAAATAATAATAATCGATTCTACATAACATGTCTGTATTATCTTTTATATACGTAAGTTTTATCTATTTAGTAGATATAACAGGTATGTATTTAATATTATCAAGTATACGGGAAATGCGGGTACACGGAAATGTGATGTGTTAAGGTAACCATTTGTTTCAACTCGTTAATTGCCATGAAAAAAAAAATATAGCAAAGTATCAAGCCAAGTTCGGTATAAATACTTATAGATAATAATTATTCGCTTTGGTGAAAAATAATTATTTATCGATTATTAAGAATAATTGTTGCATGATATGCAATCTATTTGTTTATATAATAATGATAAGTAAAAAATCATTAACTCATAAATGGAAATAAACATATTGAGCTATAAAAACATCTATAAGAATATTGGAAAATGTTAATTTTAATAATAATAGTGAAATTAAAATTCCATTTGAAGATTAAAATGTTGCAAAATTGCAACAGAATGACAGATAATTATGATGAGTACTGATTAAAATTTACATCTAAATAAATGAAATGTAAAAAATTTTTTTTTCCTTCATAACCAATTGCATTCAGGTTTTAATAAAGTTGAATAATTTATTTGCATAAAATGCAAATTTGTTGTCTATAATTAACATAGAAAATGATTGATTTTCAAATAAAAATAGAAAAGTTAATAAATAGATCTATTAGATGTGATAAAGAACACCATTAAATCTATTCCAACTATCATCAAATGAAAAAAAAAACCAACAAAATGGTAGGTTTTATTGAATTGAAATATTTTTGACAACTTTATACAAAATAATAAAAGGATGTATCGTTTTGTTCAGGTTGTTATCGTTGAAAAAAATTGCACAAGGGCGAGGCATGAGAATGAATGGTTTGTACATTTTATCGCAACATAATAAAACGAAAGCATATAAGTACGTACAAGAGTTCTGTTGGAACCCCTGCCGAGTTCCCACGTAGACATCACGGCTTCATCTCATACGACTTTTCATAGTTGTTTATATATACTTGTATATACTTATATATGTTGACAATCAGTATCGGTTCTTGCTCATACGATTACAAAATGAATTTAATGGTGTCTCATGATAAACTGTCTCCGATCCAAATCACAGGAGGTAGATAGATTGATTTAGATCCGTCAGATTATTCTAATGCCGTCCACGCGTTCTTATACCGTCTTCTATATCCTTCTGATTAATCGCTACGTCTCCACACAGTTATTCTCTTATAATCAATTCATAAATCATGACAAAAAAATTTTAGCATTGATTATTCATGCTTTTCTTTTAACATTTATTCTGCATTTAATTTATTGTTATCAACGATGATCCAATCGAATTATATGATTGATATTGATTTAGATATGCTATCGAATACAAGATGTACGTTGTTTTTTTCTAATTTAATAAAGACAAGATCTTCTTGTGATCTTATACAGAAATGAACATACCAAAAATAATACAAGTCCTGTTCAATTGGATATTGATCAATAATTTACTATAAATCAAAGTGTTTAGAGTTCAAGTGATTGAAGTGTTTACCATGTTCAACATCATCAACAACCTACAGCAGATTTGTCCACGAATTTAAAACGTTTCTTGCCATTTATAAAAATACTGTAGTTTGTTCAACATTGTTAACTGTTGGAACTACTTTATTTCCATGTATTAAATGCACTCTATTTGTGATTGGACTTTGCCTGACAGTCAGTCTAAGTAAACCTCTCTAAGAAGATGATCCTGTTTATATTTCTATTATCAGTCAGTCTTAATAAGGTCTAAATATTCTTTTCTTTGTATCCCAACTATTGTTCACTTCATATTAATTCCTCTTTGACTTGTATTTACCAACATAAACACTTAAATATTTCTGAATGTGCAGGGAATAAGTCTACTAGAAGCTTTTGCGAATAAGTAACTGAAAAAGGAAAATTTCTGAACATGAATGGTACAGAAATGAACAACAGGCTCATGATTGAGATAGCATTGACCACCAAATGGTGTTATCATCCAGCCATGACCCAGTTATGGATCCAGTTGTGCTCTGTTAAGATTCTTAGATCAAGAATGAATCTATCTTTGACAAGGTGAATCCATTCTGCTATCATTCTATCATAATCCTGTCTTTATCCACGTTATGTTGAACATGTTTTATTA